AAGAGCAGCCAGTGCTCTTAACCGCTGAGCCATTTCTCACGCCCCAATATTGGCTTTTAAAAAGTCCTCTGCAAGAGCAGCCAGTGCTCTTAACCGCTGAGCCATCTCTCACGCCCCCATATTGGCTTTTAAAGAGTAATTTTTGCATAGTTTCTAGTGGCTATATGATAAATTTACAATATTTATCGTATCATTTTGATTCCCAGATATTTTGGGGGTTGCTAAAAAGATGATAATAAGGCTTACTGTCAGTCTTTACTAGGAGTAAACCAGAGTTAGCACTCTAGATTTTTAACCCTTTAAAAATCCAACAGTTGTGGGTCTGGAGAGATGCTTCAGTGGTTCACAGCACTTGCTGCTCTTACAGAGGACCTGATTTGACTTCCCAGCACCCACATCAGATGGCTCACAACTGCCTGTAACCCAAACTCCAATCTGATGCCCTCTTGTGGCCCCTCTGTGCACATGCAGTCATGTGAGAAGTAATGCACACATGTGTGCACAAACACACACACACACACACACACACACACACACACCACATAATTGAGAAAATGAATCCAGGTGTTGAAGAGGTGGCTCGATGGTTAAGAGCACTGACTGCTCTTGCAGAGGACCTGGGTTCAATTCCCAGCACCCACATGGTGGCTAACAGCTCTCTGTAACTCCAGTTCCAGGGAATCTTATGCCCTCTTTTGACCCTTGTGGGCATTTCATGACATGGGTGCACTTACACAGATGCAGGCAATACACTCATACACATAAATAAAATACTAAAAATATTCTTTTAAAACGAAAATAGATCTTTTTCTTTTTTGCCTTTTTGAGACAGGGTCTCCCTGCAATCCCAGCTGGCCTGGAACTCACTATGTAGACCAGGCCGGCCTTGATCTCACAGAGATCCGCCTGCCTCTGCCTCCAAGTGCTGGTATTAAAGGTGTGTGCCACCATGCCCAGCCTGAAAATAGATCTTTTGAAAAAAGTTAAATAATTGTGAAAGTGTAAAATATCCTTTTGAAACAATGAATCCAGAATTTCTGTACATTCTGACTTGTAGTGCCTAGACGTCAATCATCTCTACAAATTTGCCATTGGATAAAAGCCACTGATGATTCCAGGTATCTCTGAATAGATTCCTGAATCTAATACTTGGATGGGTGCTGTATTCTAATATTTTTGTTTAGAACTTTATTTACTGGTGGCACACACCTTTAATCCCAACACTTGGGAGGCAGAGGCAGGTGGATCTCTATGAAATCGAGGCTAGTCTGGTCTACATAGTGAATTCCAGGCCAGCTGGGGCTACTGGTTTCCTCAAGGATTTCTTCCATTCTATCCTACAATGGACACACTGCCACAGCATTTTCACATACTCTAGTAAAGATATCCCTGTGTATGTCTCTCTCTCTCTCTCTCTCTCTCTCTCTCCATATATATATATATATATTGCTGCATGGTTTCTTATGTTTTTTGACTGGGTGTAGGAAAATTGTCAACCTAAAAGCTATGTTGCTCTTATTGTGAAATAATTCATAGCCTCACAGGAATTCACTAAAATAGTCCAGAGGATCACTGAATCACTCCACTCCGTTTGCCCTGCTGGTTGCAATTTATATAACAATAGTTACATATGAGATTGTTTATATAGGTGTTTTCAATAAACTGTTGAAATTTGGTGATGTCAAATTTTTAATGTGGTGGACTGTTGGTTTTCACACAATGACTTTATCATTTTTATTAGGGATTTATACAATTATTCTACCGCTCAGTTCTAAAAGTTCAGATTTTGTGTTCACAAGCTGTGTTTTTCTGTCCTCAGCGGTGTCACCCAGTTCCTTGTGCAGGTCCATCTATTTTTGGTATCAGCCATCATTTTCCATAGAAATGTGGATTTGGGGGATATCGGTTTGAAACTCCTGGCCTTACCTAAATCTGCAGATTGGTCTGGCAGAGTAGGCAGGAGATGCTCCGGACCAGGTAGGAGTTCAAGTCCAGCTTCCTCCTGCTTCTGCCACCCAGCTAGGGGGTGGGTTAGAAGCAAATCTAGCAACTGAGAAGTGGTGGGAGTCCAAGCTCACCCCAGAGCCTCCCTGACCTCAGCCTAGCTGGAAAGGAGACTGCCTCAACACTGCTCCCTGCAAGACCTCCATGGTCCCCTGGTGGAGTCGGTGTGGAAGGCGCTTCTCAGGAGCACCTAGAAAGCTCCCTCTCCAAGGGAAACCTGTGGTTCTAGTGGGGAGGGAGTCCAGTCTCCCCATTGGTCTCCTCTGACACCTCCCAGCAGAGAAGGGCAAGGCACAGCTTTCCCACTAGTAGGGTGGGAGTCCTGGTTCCCACATAGTCTCCTCTGAGGAGGGGTGAGCGGGAAGTGGGTCTTGTTAGCACCCAGAGGGGATGGATACTCTGGACCTCGCCTCTGCCTTCCTCACCAACTCTGCCAGTGGTCAGAGTAATTTATGACCACTTGTGTGGTCTGGGATTGGGGACTGGGGAGAGCAGGATCCAGTCTGTTCATTTAAGTTCTGATAGAGGGGTGGAGATCGGCATGGTTTCCCTCCACTGTGATAGACTGCCATTGGGCGGCACTGGCTGAAGGTTGCTGTGTCGCCAGGTCACACTTATGTCAAACAAGCATTTCTTGAAGCTTTGCTGGCTCTGTTTGTAGTTCTGGGCTGTTGGAGGCTCTAGCCACAGTCTGCAATGTCTAAAACAGAGAGCGGACCCAGGCAATTGATCTTGGTTGTTCCTCCGCCGAGGCTGCCTCCTGGTGGACCGGCTCCCTAACTGGGACCGTCCTCTTAGGCTGCTCTACACATGATGCCCATGAGTCGTAACCCTCCTGGGTAGAACAGGGCTTGCTGCTTCCACTCCATCTTCCTGAGAATTAAAGCTTCAGTAGTACGATCATCTCTAATAACCCCAAACATTGCCAGTTTTTAAAAAGATGTTTCAGGGACACTATTTTTACTTGTAACTGTGCTATATGACAAATACATGCTGGACATAACTCCAGAAGCTTGTCTGGAACATGAATATATATGTATACGCATACAGATATGTAAAGTTTCCACAGATGAAAGTAACATGGAATGTAATTAAATTTAAACAGTGTGAGGAATACATTATAATTATGCCAGTATAATTATGCTTGCATGTATGTGCGTGCACCATGGGTGTACAATTCTCATGGAGCTCAGAAGAGGCCATCGGAGTCCCTGGAACTGACTTTATGGATGGTTGTTAGTGAACTCGTCGGTAAACTTCCCTAAGTTACTCCATTTTGTTTGGAGCCATTTCAACAGCAACTCTGCTCCACACCGAAAGGAAAAGGGGGGCAACCTTGGGTCTTGGGAAATTGTCCTAACCATGAACCGTGGGATATGCTAATTCGACATTCTACATCTGGCTAACCGGCTTGTTTTCACTTCTGTAATCCGCTTGCTGTCTTGGGTCACCTTGACACAGGGCATAAGACCACCTTGTTATCCTGTTACTGTCTGACCACCAGTAACTGCTGACTCCAGCTTTCTTACTATACTTATTATGGCTAGGCAGTTAACTAATTTTAAAATTACAAAGCTGATTGCCAAGTTATATGACTGTGTCACTTGTCTGTATAGTGACTGGTTGTTGATTAATAGATTCAAAGTTCTGCTATGTTGTACAAACCTGACCAAATGTCCTGTTTTAATAATAATTCTGTAATTCTATAAAAACTCTGACCTGACAATCATCAGAGCTGCTTCTACTCCCGAGATAGCCTGGCCTGTCAGAAAATAAAATTAATCTTGTTACTTCTCTTAAAGTAATGTTGGTGATTTTTTGCGAACTCCATCCTGTAACAGCAGCCATATGGGTGCTGGGAACCAAACCTGGGTCCTCTGCAAAAGCAGACTATGCTCTTAACCACTCAGCCACCTCTCCTGCTTTCTTAGTTCCTGAATTATCTGACCCAAGTCAACATGACCCTTGGTAAGAAGATACTGCATGCCAATAACTACAGCATACACAGATGCCCCACATATTTTTGCGAACTCCATCCTGTAACAGCAGCCATATGGGTGCTGGGAACCAAACCTGGGTCCTCTGCAAAAGCAGACTATGCTCTTAACCACTCAGCCACCTCTCCTGCTTTCTTAGTTCCTGAATTATCTGACCCAAGTCAACATGACCCTTGATAAGAAGATATTGCATGCCAATAACTACAGCATACACAGATGCCCCACATAATCAGCATTACCCTTCCCACAGAGTTTGACCGAATGCTACTTCCTCCCACAGCAAAACCTAGCCCATCTGAATTTATTGCACAGGGAACCTCAGGATAAATGCCAAAGGAATCCTGGAACTAACAGAAGTCTTAAATCAAGCAGCGTATTCTGTCCATTTAGGCAAACCTGTGGCTGACAGCCAATCTCTTCTGAAAGGATGGCCCAGGTTGCTTTATGTGGCTTAATAAAACACTGACCAGAACCCACTCCGGGAGGAAAGACATCATTTGGCTTACAGGTGTAGTCCCTCATCAAGGGAACTTAAGGCAGGAACTGAAGCAGAGACCACGGAGGAACAGTGCTTACTGGCTTGCTCCCCTGACTTGCTCTTGTACAGCCCAGGCCCACCTGCCCACAGTGGGCTGGGCCCTCCTACATCAACCAGCAATCAAGAAAATGTTCCACAGATGTGCCCACAGGTCAGCATGATGGAGAAAAGTCTTCATTCGAGATCTCCCTGTCCCAGATGTGTCAAACGGACAGCTGAAGCTGACTATTGCAGATGGATTTCCTCGAGTGAGAATATCAGAACTATCTAATATTGCATCTAAATATCAGGTGAGAGGTATAATGTGCCTAAGTTCAGATGAGCATGTTAGAGATCAGAGGGTCAGAGTGGAGGGATAAATAAGAGGGGACGGAGCAGACACACGTCTGAGAGCTTCCTAGCCTAGATTTGGCCTTTGTTTTTTGCATAGGGTGAAGCTGATAGGTGCATATTCAACTTACCTCACTCCCTTGGAGGCCAAGGTCTATTTCTTTGGCTCTTAACCCTAGATGAAATAGGAAAAGGAAAGATATATTACAATGTATGACTGGTCTGTGTTCAAAGTCTACATAGGAAAGCAATGAGGATTCAACAAAACAACACAAATCAAAGAAAAATATCAAACGAACATGAACGAAAACTACATTTTTCAAAACAGCCTCCAAAACGTGTTTCTCCAAAAACTCATTATGGTCTAAGGGCAGAGCTCGACATCCTAAGGTACAAGAATGATACCAGTAACTAAGACATGAATATAACTCTGATGAACGCACTCATGAAACCACAGCCAAAACCCACTGCGGGGTTTGAATAAGAACCTTTCCCAAAGGCTTAAGCCTCGGTGCAGTTTGAAGACGTTTAGGGGGTGTGGCCTTGCTAGAGAAGCAGGTCACTGCGGGCAGCTTGGGGCTTCACAGCCTGGTTCTACTTCCAGGTTCTCTCTGTGCTTCCTGTGCCTGTTTGAAGATGTGAACACTGCTTTCTGTTCTGGCTGCCACGCTCCCACCATGACGGACTCTTGCCCCTCTAGAACCCTAAGCCCAATGAACTCTTCTTTCGATGAGTTGCCTTGGTCACGGTGTTTCATCATAGCAAAATAACAGGGAACATCACACCCACTGAGCAACACTGCATCAGAGGGCTGCCTTCACGCCCCTGTGGGGAGATGCCATTTTCTCTGTTGCTTTCTGGAATCGTCAGAGTTCTCCCAGTTTCTAAGAAGAGGAAATCGCTATCTGAGCACCCATATCATCTTCATAATGGTAATGTGTTTAGTTACTGGGGCTGGCACACATGAACAATAAGTTTCTGGCACTCTAGAGTGTTATACAGAGGATTATGATTTTTATTCTGTAATGATCTTGGACACAGTGAAATATTACTTTAGTCAAAGACTTCCTACATAATCGTATATGTTTGAGAAAATAACACAACAGAAATGAGATGTTACTACCACTTACAGACTATCTCCAATAAATATAAATTCAGGAAGAGTTAAGATATATTCTGAAAACATAGAAAATACACACACACACACACACATCATAATAAACTGTAATGGCTTCTTAAATATCTAACAGTAATAGAGACAGGTAAAAATATTAAAA